ATGTAGATAGGGACGCACCGTAAATTTACATTGTTAGTAGGGAATATTTAAAAAAATCTAGATTTAAGAAGTGTGTGTCTAGGTCTCTCTGCAAAAGTCAATAACATATGAAATTTCAGTACACTGCCATAAGATGGATAATATACGCGTCAATAAAATATTTAGTGTATGTGTGTCTTTAAAATAATCACCTTTCTGGGAGCCGAATCGCAATATTTTCTTGATGACAAGAATGGAATGAGTAAATACTTTCAATGGCATATATGACTTGCTTTATTAGTATAATTTTACCCTCACTCATATTATATAAGAGTTTCCCTGTCCGCGAAATAGACTCGATAGTAAAATATTCATATATGACTCACGGGACAAGGAAAGATAGTATGATCCATTTGAATCTATTTTAGTAAATAAAGGTACGTTCTTGTATATTTTAGTACTTTTATTTCAACGAAAATATATTTATGACGATTAAAAATAAATAAAAATAGAAACTTAATAGCTTCTTATATTTACACGAACACTACATATTGAATAAAACTATTTATACTCGTACTAATTTTGTCGTGTTTAATTGAGTTATGTTTGATTCCCGACGCTTAGACACGTCGGGAATTAAAAACAAATAAATGTGACGCGATAAAATCAGTATAAATAGCTTTATTCAAAAATATAAACTTTTTATTCAATATACATTATACATAATACTTATTAGTCACTCTAATGTTTAATTTACTATTGGTTAGTGGTACCTTTGTTATAGTTCCCACCTTTTTACGAGTAAATAAAGTACATTAATTTTTCTAAACTAAAAAATGTAAGACAAGTGAAAATAAAGTATCATTTATTAGGCACGTCTAAGGAACAGAATTTAATTCCATCACTTTACATTAATCGAATAAATAACTTCAAATAACACTGAAGTGACGGAGAGCAGAAAATACCAGTATTCTGACATTATTGTGAATCGGATAAATCTGATAAATTGTCAGAATTATTTCCTTGTGCATACGAGATATATATAGCTTATTTTTATATAGCTCGTTGTGTATCATTGATATCTTTAAATTATGTATTTATATAATTTGTTCCTTTAGTAAACATTTAAATAAAACTTTGAAAATAGTAAAAACAGGGCAAATAAAGTGTTTTCAGGTACTTAGTTGGTCTGATAAAGTATAAAGTACGTTTGCCCGAAATAACGTCCAGTACTTTTGTAAAGTAGGAACCGTACGGCTGACAACATTAACCTCTGTCCTGGGAAGAACCGGCAAGAAACCCGACAGGCAGAAACATTTTTTTTTAAGTTCATATTGTGGGTAGTCGTCTGACATGTAATTTATTATTGGGTATCCTTCAATGCCGACTTTTGCTTATAAATTTTGATCTTCAGACCGGCTTTTTTCTTGGTTTTTGACTTTTTCCTTAAGACTTTCATACTTCTTTCCCATATAAATTATGTTTTTCCAACATTTTGTTCACATTTTGTGTAACTTGCTCCGTTACATTATCCCCACTTTTCATAATTATTATTTTCTGTTCATTTAATTCCTTTTGTGTGTTTCGAAGTGCATTCATAATTTCTTCCATGATTACTTATTATGAATTTAAAACGATTGAAGTCGAATTGTAAGATGATTGTTTTGATACCGGTGGCTACCTCTTTTGACGTCTTTTTATATTATTTAGTTGCGGATGATATTTCTACTATTACTATTCAGTTATTGCATATGTTTTAGTTTACCTCTTTTATAACAGATGGCGTTGATATCAATTTTCACGTTGAAATATTGCTAAAATTTGCAATTCATTTAATATTTGAGGTGATGTTATAAGAATCTAACATTTTAAAGAAAAAATTCTCTCTACTGTTTTTGCTATCTTTTTCACATTTCTACGTAATAATTGCATTTTTATATTTATAGTCTTAATTTTATACGCAACGATGTTTACCGTGGCACTGTAATGTCTCCCCTATATATATATATATATATATATATATATATATATACAATACGCTTTTACAACAAAATAAATCTGAATTTCAAACTAGGCGGAATTCAGATTTATTTTGTTGCAAAAGCGTATACATCGCCCCAAGAATGAATTACTGAATGTTAAAATAGGCTAATCAACCTCGGTGATATTGAGATATTGTGTAACATATTAAAAAAATACAGTGAAAAAATATCTCGCCTTATGAATTATCATTGATCGGGTCCAATAATTGGTTTTAAATCAAGTAATTCTGTACTTTTCGCGCCGTCACCTGTCGCCTTTGCACTGTAAAATTCAATTACTTTCGCTCGGCAGATTGACTGCAAGCTCTGTCTATGCACCGAGAGCTATTAAAATAAACTATTTTATAGATGTACAGGAGCGCGGATACAATAACGTTTAAAGTTTTTATACGTGGCAGACCCACGCTACAGCTATATTAATGTTGTAGCACGAATGGGTCGACTCGACTCGGGCCACACTCGCACAGAATGCCAGCGTGAAATAGCAACTCAATGCCGCCGTGTTTCGTATGGTAAGTGTGGAGACCCGGAGACCCTTTTTACTGGAAACCAGGCATTCTAGTCCTCAGGGGTAACAACGCATCTGCATTTTGATTCTTAATTGAAGATTGACCTTTTAGTTGGGTTGATGGGATTGAAGCATCGGTTTTTCGTAACTTAAAAGCAAAATTCATGACGGAAAGACAACAAGTAAAAATAATTGTGAGAGTTGACTCAACACGCCATGATAACGTTTAATTGCCTTCAGTCAGCTTCAACATTGGGGGCGGTGGAGGGCGGCCGAAGGGCGGCGCTGGGCGGACGCGACACCTCGTTTCAATGAAGCCTCCCGCACTGGGTCAAGGGCGATTTAGCTGTCCACAATATCCGAGTTATTTTCAAATTTAAATGTAGCCTTATAATGAACCTACTCGCGCATAAAATTTTTAATACAGCCGATTTATCTGCTTAGGTCGAAGGTCATAAAAAAAAACAAAGATAAAATATTGAAAACTAGCGAAGCCGGGTGTTCGCGCGGTTGGTTTCTGGATCTCCACAACAGCGCTACCTACCGGGTCCATTTGTGAATCAAAACTATCCAGCGACTCACACACACAATCAAAATCGGTCCAACCGTTCTCAAGTGATGATATTTCACGCATGCGGCAAATAATTTTTCTTTAATAGATCAGTACTTTGTCATGCCTTGTAATTTTGTGCAAGCTTCATAGCATTCATAGGATCTGTAGGAATGTACAACGGTCTTGCAAATGCTATTGAGCTTGGCACCGGTTCAGATTTCTACTCTTTTATCGAAGCCGACAACGCCGAACGTACGTTTTTATCGAACTTGGCCTTCGTTTTCACATTGAATTTATATAACTTTCTGAATATCATAGGTAAATCTAAAAAAAGTTTAGGCGTTGATTAAAACTAATTTTACGGGTTTTATTGCGGATAATACGGATTTTATCCGATCTACTGACTGGACCAAAAACAGTAATTAAAAAGCCGAAGGTACTCCGGGTTAACACTGACATCGGGACGTCAGTCACCTCAGTCCAACGGTTACCAAGGAGTTATCATTTTACCTTTATTTTTTCTATATAAGTGCGAGCATTTTTAAACTGACGATGCCGTATGTAAACGGCGGTATCATACAAATGGCCTGCGACATATTATACATTTCAATGTATTAAAATTTGTGTAATTATATGATTTTCATGTTGAGATGATTTAAATGTAGTCACCAAAGACGTTTATATTTTATCTCAAATTTCATTTAGGACTAGAATTTACCTTTTACTCCTCTACACTCACCATACGAAACAGTAGCATTAAGCTAAGGTCTGTGAGAGCGTAATATGCCTGATAGTTATGGATGCAAGAGTATTTATTTCATTAATTCATATCTCTTAACTTAATAATAACAGTACCTACTTACATATTTTTGAATTTGAATAACTGTTTAATAAGTCGTTAATAGCTAATATAAACATAATTACGTAATAATTGATTTCTTAATTAAGACACATTTTGTGACGATAAACAAAATTGGAAAAAGCAAAATGTTCCGATATAATAACATAAATATTTATTATAATCATTTATTTATTTCTACCGCATAGTACTCTAGTTACATTTATTTGAGATATATATTCAATTTTAATAATTCGGTTGTTAAGGGGAAATATAACCTCAAATGGCTTAGCAAGATCCTCCGTTATGCCGAAAGTATTGCAGCATTAATTTTGAAATAAATATATGGTAAAGTTGAGGATTAATGTTAAGGTTTATGTTAGACGAAAACACGATTCCGTAAAATTTTCTCGATAGAAAAAAATCCAAAGTTACCTCCAAACTGAACAATAAACCGCTGTTATTCATAAAATACTTTAAATAAGATCATGAAACTTTGCATACTAACTGAACTAACCATAAATCAGTGCTTATGTTATTTACTTTTTTTAAAATATCATTATTTTCTCTGTAAAAAGAAATTACCTAAACTATCGGCGCGTAAGCTTGGTTCCTGTCCAAGGTTGCCGATTTGTGGGGAATTCACGAAACTGCGGGGAATCTCAAGTTGATTGGGGATTTATTGGGGATTGGCATTATGCGGGGAAAATGCGGGGATTTTAACATCTTCGTTAATATACTTTTTCGAAAATACCAAATACTTTAATATTTTTTTTTAATTTAGGTACTTATGGATAACGGAGGACTCAATACTCTTTATTGCACTTATCTTTTTGAGTATGAATGAGAAGAAAACATCGCTTAAAAGACAAGCATCCAAGCCAAAAATCTTAATATTTTTTCTGATCTATGGTTGCAATAAACCAAATTGAATGAAAGCTAGAAATATCGGAAAGTATACCGACACTATGATTAGGGGATTCCCTTTCTTTTGACGTTTTGTGAAATAGTGAATTTCTTAACATTATAATATTATAATACGTATTTTGTCGAGCCGTAACGATACTATCTTGTACAAATATGGATAAATGGTTAATGAAAGGCCAAAACAAAGAAGATAATCCTAAGGTAAGGTAATTAATAGCCTTTTTATTTATTTGTGCGCGATCATGAAACATTAGCAGGTTACCGTCTGTCAGAAACTCAGTGATTATAACTATCCTAATTTTTGGTTTTTAGCTTGAACGTAAAAGGAAACCCGAAAAGGAAACATCAGAGGCTTCAACTTCTAGTATAGAAGTAGAATATGCTGTTCCCATTCCCAGTTCCAGTTTGACTTCAGTGGGCTTGGCAACAAGTGAGTCAAATAATCCACAAACTAAAAAAATAAAACGCCTGAATAAATTTAATGATTTATGGCTTCAAGAACCAAACTTCTTGAGCTGGCTATGCAAAGATTCGAAAATGAAAGATGGAAATGATTTAGCACACTGTATGCTTTGTTCGGTGTCGATCATAGCGCATAAAAGTGATCTGATTCGACATATGAATTCAGATCGCCATAAGAAAAAATCATTAGAAATACAGAATATTCCAAAAATTTCAAATTATTTGCCAGTGATGGATTTAGAAATAAATGTACGAAAAGCTGAACTAAAATTAGCCGAAGCGTTGGCTGAAAATAATATACCAATATCATTTAGCGACATCTTGGGCCCACTCTGCAAAGAGATTTTCGCAGACTCAGTTATAGCTAAAAATATGAATTTACACAGAACCAAGGCGACGGCTATAATAAATAATGTTTTAGGAAACACATTTTTAGAGGATATATATGAAAAATTACGCGGAGAAAAAATCTTCTTTTCATTAATAATGGATGAAACGACTGATCAGAGCTCTTTAAAACAATGCTGTTTTACTGCTGTTGTCTATGATGAGAACACCAATAAGGTAGAGCATTTGTTTCTGGATATGGTGGAATTGTCATCAGGAACTGCTAAGGGACTGTATGACTGTTTACATCAAATGCTTCGAAATAAAAACATATCGATAGAAAACATGGTAGGGTTTAGTTCAGATACCACAAACGTGATGGTTGGAGAACATTGCTCTGTTTTTGCTCTTCTTAAAAAGATTTGCCTCACATTGCTCTGGTGAAATGTTCTTGTCACATGATACACCTATCATCATCTAAAGCTTGTCTTAAATTGCCTCGAAACGTTGAAGATTTTTTGCGTTCTGTTGGGGCTCACTTCAGTAGAAGTTCACAAAGACAACTAAAATTTAGAGAGTTTCAAGAATTCTTTCAAGTGGAGATTCACAAAATTCTCACACCAGCTCAAACTCGATGGCTCTCGCTGAAAGCGTGTATAGACCGTGTCTTAGAGCAGTATACTCCATTAAAAGCCTACTTGACAGAAACAGTCTTCTCAGATCCGTCGAAGACTACCGAAGAAATGCTGATTACAATGAACAACCAATTCACTGTGGTATATTTGGAGTTCATGTTTTACGTACTTGCACTGGTAACAAAATTCAATGTCTTGTTTCAATCAGAAACTTCCCTTCTTTACAAATTGAAACCAGAAGTCGAAAACCTTTTGAAAACGTTGTCTTCTAATTTCATGAAAATTAGCTATATCAAGTCCTGTGCTAATATTTTAAACGCAGACTTCAAAAACCCAACACATTTTCTAAGTTTAAACGAAATATATATTGGATTAAAGGCTGGAGAAAGTATTGAAATTTTAAAAAATGACGAAAATGTACCTCGTGCTGCTATTGCAGGTTTCTATAGAACCTGCCAGGAGTTTTATATTGAATTGACGTCAGATATTACCAAGCGATTTGATTTTGGGGATCCTCTATTTTCTATTATATCCGCTGTAAATCCATCAGAAGCTCAACAGTTTCTAATTAAATCACCTGTGCTGAAGCGATTTCCAGTGCTTTATAAGTTTGTGACCGCACAAAAATTAGATGACGAGTGGCGAACTCACGCTTTGTTAGATTTTGAGCAACATGGGCTTGAAATTCATGGAGATAACATCAATGCCGAAAGTTACTGGGGTAAAGTATTTCGCCTTAAAAATGCTGCGGGAGAATACATGTTTCCAAACATAAAAATTGTTATGTCTTTGTTGCTCATATTGCCATTTTCAAACGCGTCGGTCGAAAGAAAATTTAGTGCGCTTCGATGTTTAAAAACAGAAAATCGCAATCGGCTAAATACAGGTACTGTAGTGTCTTTAATGGCAACAAGAGAGGGTATAAAAAAATTGGGCGGCAGTGCCAAGTTTAATCCTTCCAACAAAATGCTTGCATCAAACGTATGGAAAAAGTGCAACAAAGGTTAAAAAATAAATATTATTTAAATAGGTTAAACTTGTTTCATTGTTTAAAATAATATTGAGGGGAATTTGTGGGGAATCAGCAGATTTTTGTCCCCAAATTTGGGGAATTTCATATGGAATTTTGGGGAATTACATACATTGGCATTAGCAACCCTGTATCCTGTCGCTCCGTTAGTATTGCTCCGGCTTTTGAAGGGAGAAGTTGTGTCGCTTACGATCAGAAAACACATTACGCAACAGGAAGACGTAAAATTAAAATGGGAAATAACCGTTATAAAAATAAGAAGCGACTGGGTTGGTGTTAAGAAACAGGCATATATATGATAAACATAATGAAATATACAAACAGCATACGACGCGCGGGGAAGTGGGGGCGAAATTAGAATTTGAGCTGACTTACTCTCACCTCTTAAGGATATATGGTACAAAATATGGGATTATTTCATTTTTATTATAAACTTTGGATTATATCGAGTTCTGATGATAATCCTATAGATTTGGCAAGATTATGATGACAACAAAACGAAATAAAAATGGAAAATGCAAAGTACTTTGTAACAAGCAGTGACATTATAAAATATGTAGGTACTAGTAAACACAAAGCCCATGTTAGGTCACGCGGCACGCAAACCGTAGGGTTTGCAGTGCAGATTAGATTTAGGTTTACTGTACTGTAAGTTTTAATTTTATTTATTTTCCAAAAAAAATAATTTAAATAAATAATTAAATGAAAAATTAAATAATTACTCAATTTTTATTAAATTAAAAAAAAAATTAAATAAATAAACGAACGGCAATAAAACAATAAATTTATTAGGCATTTTTGACCTTGTCACTTCGCAAGGTCACATGCTCAAGGGCAAAGGGCGAAAATATTTTCAAAAAATAATTTTTCAAATGTTTCATTCAGTTTTTATTTTTTGTAAAATATCGGTGTCATAGGCTTCTGTTCCGTTCACATGTTACACTCTATTTTTTCCAGACGGTAAAACAAGGTCACCAGTATATGTTTGACGTCAAAATTAACAATTAAAAGTTAAAGAAGTTAGCCTTCGTTAACTACGACATCGGGACGTCAAACACCTCAGCCCCTCCTGTGACCATGGGTGTTATAAAGTACCCGAAACTTCGGGAATTAAAAAAGTTAAAATTAAACGCGATAAAGTCCGTTAAATTAGTTTCATTAGATCCTTATTGTATAAAAACAAAGGTTCAAAGACTAATTGAAGGATATTGCGCTGTGCAGTTTATACAAAGATGTTGCTCGCAGGCAGCCGGAACTTCGTCGCCTGTTTGATCGAGCCAGATGGCCGTAAGGAAAATTTATGGTGTGCATAAATATTTATTGCAAATTTATGTCTATAATATGATGTCATCCACGATTCAGAATAGTGTGAGGTTATGGATTCTAGACTCTCATTAAAATACCATTAACATTATAATCACACCCGCTACCGTGCAAACTATACAAGTATTCAAAAAATCAAAACGTTCGCTCACATGTTTTGTGTATACTTCTTACATGTGCACGTCACTTGACCGCTTTAGCTGAATCAATTTGTTTTAACCGCGACCACTGCGTAGCTTGAAATTTTTTTCGCTAGTCGATTGTTGTTTTTTGTTATACAAGTGACAATGACTTTTTTGTACAAAGGCAGCGGAAAGGAATGAGGTGAAATAATCGACAGATTTCATAGGGGGGAAAGGGAAGTTAATTTGTTAGAAAAGTGTAGAGATTAATGTTTTTTTCTAAGATATTAGTTATATTTTACATTAATTAAATTAGCAATTCCTAAAAGTAGAAAACATAAAAAGTTAAAAAAGTCCTTAAAATTAAGAATACAGAACTGAGTCATTATTTCGTGTATATGGACCAAGTGATTAATTGGGACACTATTCATAACGTCCGGGCAATATGAATAATGACAAATCAAATTAGACTACGTAATTAATATTTACTGATTTAAACTTCATTATTTATCACAGTGTCTTGATACTCTGCCGAATTAGTAACGGAATTTATTTATAAAGCCCGATCAAATGAATGATTTTAATGATTTTTATTGCCTACTCATATTATGCATTTTACAAACTGTCCGGGCATCGTGAATAATGCCTTATTAATCACTTGTTAACCCTATAGTGGCGGTGTAAGAGTATCCACTACCACGTATCATCCTGTGGGTGTCGTAAGAGACAACAAATCTGGAAATGATCAGCAGCGTTTTCCTGATAACGGCTAAAAATAAAAAACTGCGGTTGCCGAGCTATAGGGCAATCTATTGGAGAGGCCATCAGATCATCATCATCATCATTACAGCCCTTCGCAAGTCCACTGCTGAACATAGGCCTCCCCCAAGGTATGCCACAAAGCACGGTCCTGAGCCACCTGCATCCATCGACTTCCTGCATGTCCTGCCAGGTCGTCACTCCATCTAGTGGAGGGTCCCCTATGCCTACCGGTACGAGGCTGCCACTCCAAAACCTTTTTCCTCCATCGGTTGTCGGTTCTTCGAGCTATATGGCCGGTCCATTGCCACTTCAGCTTACTAATCCGTTGGGCTATGTCGGTCACTGAACCAGTGATACGGATGCGGATAACCTCATTTCTAAGTTTATCACGCAGAGAAACCCCGAGCATAGCCCTATATCGGACTATAATTGGTTATAATGGTGGTAATCACTTGTTTCATAACACATGATGTGTAGTATAGTGTATGTAGTACATTAGAAACCGAAACATTTATAATTAAATCGAAAACTTTTAAATGATGATGACGTTATAACGTATAAGTTCGCCTTACAGCATTGAGCGCACAATCCATCTGGTGATAAGTGAATGCTGCGGATCATAGAGGGACAGATGTAGGTGACATCTATCCTCGATTAAGAATCAAAGTGTGGATGCTTTGTCGCTCCCTAAAATTGAAGAGATGGAATAATTCGTTACTAGTAAAGGTTACTCTGATAGACGGAGAGGACGTACTTGTTGCTGGGTTAAACCTACATTTGTCTCGCAGCTTAAGTCTATTATCGTACGTCTGCAATTTTGTTGCAAAAGCGTATACATAGCCCCAAGAAAGAATTACTGACTCTGCGGAGTCGCGTTACTGGTACTACCTTGTGTAAATGATCTTCCCTCGAGATTACAGAAATTGTTCTTATATAATATTTTTTCTTAGGTATAACGGTGTTTGTATATATACATACATACATAAACACTCACGCCTGTCACCCAGAGGGGTAGGCAGAGACTACAGACTTCCATTTAGCACGATCCTGACATACCTTTCTCGCCTCTTCCACATCCATATACCTACGCATACACGCTCGTCGGTTAAGGGTACTCTTAATTTGGCCCATTTTTAGTATATCGCCAATTTGGTCGACAAACTTCCGCCTAGGACGTCCCTTTCCGACTCTTCCATTCACTTCTGCAACATATATTTGCTTTGTCAGTCTTTCCGCATTCATTCTTTCTACATGACCAAACCACCGAAGCATTCCTTTCTTAATCCTGGTCACCGCATCATCTTGCAAACCACACTCTTTTTTTATCACACAGTTTCTCACCCTGTCACTCAGATTCAGCCCTAACATACTCCTTAGCGACCGCATTTCTACTGCATTTATTCTACTCTCATGCTTCTTCTGCCACACCCAACTTTCACTACCATACGTTAAAGTAGGGACTAATACAGCACTGTGAATTGCCATACGTGCTTTTGTGTTTTTCCATATAAAACGTCACATATTTATGTACTTTACCCCTAATACGTAATATGGTTAAATATGGTGGCGCTTAGTGTGGTCTAGCTAAACGCAGAAAGGATAACACTTGTGATAACGGCTTAGTCAACATCTTATTTTGTGTACAATATATTATACGAAAATGGCAGAATCTCAATCGATTCCAGGCGCGTTTATCTTGGCACCCGAAGCACTTTTTAAAGCTGCCAAAACGTTTTCACAGTTTATTTTTGTTTTTCTGCTAAATAGCGCTAGGTCGTAATGTTTCTAAAGCGCTCGAAGCCACGTGGCACTGCCGCACTTTGTATCCACATAATATTTCATTATCTAATTTTTGCATTGGTTTAAAAATGAAACAGTTGAACGACATGTTAATTGAAATGCAGAGAAGCAAACTTTAGCTGCGGCTTATTGTATTTTCAACAGTCGCTTATGCTATAATGTCGGTTTGAAACTGATAGAGCCGCGGCGCAGGTGGCTTCGAGTAGCTGCAACACGAATGGCTCGACTCGACTGTGGAGTTGCCACACCCGCACAGAATACCAACGTGAGATATCAGCACAATGCTGCTGTACTTGTATGATAAGTGTCGAGAACCGAGGACTCTTTTTTGGTAACAAAGCATTCCATCCTAGTTTGCCCTGGTGTCCAATGCATGCATTTTCATTTTAATCGACGATCGATGTAGGTCTCTATGAGCCACACACCGTCAGGGGAATTGTGTTTGTTTGTCACCTTTACTATTTTTCCACTAACTTTAATGAAAAACTAAGCCGCGGTAAAATAAAAGACTTCCAGCATATTATTTATTTATTTTATATTTTTTATTTTATAGAGGTTGGGTAATATATTAACACAGTCCACCTGATGGTAAATGGATGCTGTGGCCCATAAACATCTACATTTATTCTCGATTAAGAATCAAAATGCACGTGCTTTGTCTCGTTTCTAGTAAAAAAGGGTATCCGGCTCTCTACATGCACCATACGAATCACAGTGGTATTAAGCTGCTATTTTACGCTGTTATTCTGTGAGAGCGTGATCCTTTCCCGGTCGAGCCGTATACAAATATAGAATAAGGGTGATAAACTAGCAATTAGTCCACCTGATAGTAAGTGGATTCTGTGACCC